CTTTCTAAAAATAATATGAAAAGTGTATAAAACCTACCATGTACATTGATGAAAATCTTTTAATAAACACACAAGATGGCTTCCGTTTGACATGACAGTTGACGTAGACAGGAAGCATAGGCGTACTTAATAAGGCAATTTTAAATAAGAAATTGAATTATCTAATTATATTAATATTATATTTACGAGTGTTTGTGTAGATATATTGTTCAACATTAAACCTAACTAAGTCTAAATTAACAGTCTTAGGAATTCTATTTCCTTCAAATGTCAAAATTACTATCTGGCGAGGAACAAGAATTGTTTCATTATCTGAATCAATTATTTTCTGTTTTAACCTTTTTACTTCGATAACATTGTTGTCTGAAACAATATTTTCTAAAATATACTTTTCATCCAAAAACATATCGACTTCCCTAATAATTCCCTTCTTTTGAATAAAAAATGATGGAATATACGCTATAAGTTTATTATTCTTAATAAGCTCATGTTAAATTAGAGAATTTGCACAAGTATAAATTTTAAAAATTACTTTTACTGTATTTCTTAACAGGTTTAATGTCTAGTACATCGTGTTTAAAATATTGGTTTTTAAATAAATATTGACCGACACGTACTGGCGATAAACGGGACAAGTTTTTGTCTGTAGATTCTACAAAGACGTAATAATACCCTGAATCATTTACTTTATATCTGTTATTTTAAATTAATGTACCTTTTGTCTTCCGTATCCATTAATAATGTGTTATTCTGGGGTGACTCCATCCCCCGATTCACTCATAATAATAATTAATTAGATCCTACCTTTTTTGTAGATCGGTTGGTTTATTTTCAAATTAACTACCTATTAATTTGATAATGGCACTAGTCATGGACACCGGTACATATTATCGATATCGATGTACACCTGTTCACTGTCCAACGAATACTACAGTTTTTATGTATATGCCCCAGATGTAAACAGTTCAAACATAATTTATGACTTTTTGCCTCATCGGTTCTTTGCTTTACAGATAAATTCAGAAACTCTGGATAATTTGAAATTTTGTGTGAATTTTGACAGAATTGACATACATATTCAGTTGAAACAAATGATTTTGCTCTTCTATTATTAATAATTTTGCTAGTTTTTATTATGTGAGGTGTATTTTCATTGATAAATGCTCTATTTTCTAATATGTCGGCTCTTTTCTTTAAAAACTCTAAGAATTGATCAAATGTATGTTCTGGTATGAGGATTGAGGCTTAACTGAGTCCCACTCATGTTCAGAAATAGGTTCCAACTTACTGCATGCTATATAGTTTAAAAGTGTGCCCCAGTATTCAGTGGGCTCACCAAGAAATTTTAAAGAACGTAAATTGCTTGAGATATTGTGTATCAATAGTCTTAAATGAAAAGAGTTCTCTTTATTCACTGTTGACAAGTTGAATATTGCCTTTACATGGCTGTAGATTAAAAGATCTTGATTTGTGCGTATCTTTCACATATAAGCTGCCATGCAAGACTAAAATTTGTAGAAGAAAGTGGCAACGAGCTGATAACCTCTGCTGCATTTCCAGAAATGGCAGATTTTAAATAGTGAAATTTTTGAATTTGACTTAAACTACTATTAATAATAATTAGAAACTCAAACGATAAAGTCTAGCCAGTTTTCAAAGTGGCCTGAGAATTTAGGCAGCTCTATTGTAGGTAATTTAATGTTGCTATGGTTACCATTATTTGAACAATTTTGACTTGAATTATTAGACATTTTAGATGATTTACCGATAACAGATTTTGATCATAAGTATTTTTACTAATGCTACTGCAGAATAAAACCATTTTCAAACTTTACCCTTGAATCAATAGCATTTTCAGACACAGAATCTTCCAGACAGTCGATTTCATCTTGAATATTTTCAAACGTTTCTATTATTAAAAATATTCATCTTAAAAAGACGTATTTCTTAAGCTATGGTTTGTTAGAACAGTGAGCGACGCATAACTCACAGTCAGTCGAACGCCGCGCACGTTCGTCAAAACCAAAGAAATGGTTCTCTATGATAACGGTTTGTTAGGTTCTGCTGAGCTACGAGCATTGAAGACCGATAGCCGTGTACGCCGACGGTGTGCGCTAGAATCAACTGCGATTTGATTTGGACGCAAACGTTTAGCTGAGCTCACAGCGTACACATACACATACCGATTTTTATAAATGTTATTATTATTGCAATAATTACATGATGTCTTCAGTTGTAGGGTTTTTAAGTAATATCATCCCTTATAAATTTAAGAGTTCCAAATAAATCCCTGAAAAGTCATAAAGTATTCTCGAAACTTTTCCATGTTTTGAAACAATCTTCTTTCGACTGTTAATTTAAAAGATCCTTCTGTATTACGACATGGAAAAATTTCGTTTACATTTTTGTTCGTTTATTTAGATTTGACATCACCAACTCTTCTTCTTCCTTCTCTTCTTAGAGTAATAAAATATAAAATTATTGCGTTAAGTTTGCGAGAATCTATTTTTCTAAACATTTTAAGACAACACATTTGAAACTAATTTATAAACTTGTTTTGAGCGCGATAGAATATATGTATCCGAACTAATCTTACAAACCGACTCACCCAAAACTGCCGTGAGTCGAGTATAACAGATTCTGCTGTAGGTGTATGTCGTGCGCTGCGCACTGTTCTAACAAACCGTAGCTTAATTCCGCTACTGGAAGATTCTGCTCGTCCAAAATTTTTATTTTATCTAAATAATTATTAAAATTTGTTAATTTTGTTTTAATTACTGACCGTTTCCTACGTAGCATTGCAATATCTGACATTTTATCAGTTTCAATTCAAATATCAGGAATAATAAATTATATTGAAGGAAAAACAAAAATTATAAGATAGAAAAATTAAAAAGATCTATTATGTAAAATTACTTCGTATGACCTATTGTAAACTATCCTAACAGTACCAGACCGATACCTTCCTAGAGGGGTACATCAAATTTGCATTCACCGCAGCACTGAAGAAAGTAGGTGTTACCGTTAGAAACTGGAATGGGATGATCCAAACGAGTCGAGCAGGCAGCTAAATGTCGATTTCCGTTACGAAGAGAACTGTTGAATATGTTGATGGACCAACAACTTTCTCGATGTATGAACGCCAAATTTAGGTTAATTACTTGAAATTATGAATTATATTTTTCTTGTTAATAACCAAATCTTGTGAAGAAGAACCAAACCATGAAGGGATTAGAAGAACCATGAAGGTTGCACTGTATATTTTCGCTGGTTATGAACTTCTTGTTGAATAAACTTGAATAAATTAATTAAAACTTTGACAGAATGAAAAACGTGTTTGTCACTTGAAGGAACAATTTATTCTGACATTTATAATGTTGCCGTTCACACAATTTTGCACTAATTGGCGTGTAATTTAAAGTCCAAACATACTCTTTATATTTTTATGTTTCTAAAATCTTCTTTACAACGTTAGCTTAACAAAGTATGTTATGTAGGGTCTATTATGAAAAATACGAGGTGAAATTTTGAAATTATCTTTAATGTTCTTCAAGAAATTTAACTACAACACCCAATACATTGATACTTGGTCTAGAAAATGGATATCTCAATTTAGCTAATATAGTATAATAAAAAAATACCACTATTTAAACTCTTCATCAAAATTTCATGTGTTTAATCTCTTTACGAAAATTGAACATAAATTTCACCTTGAATTATTCATAATAGACTCTAAATATATTTAAATATATTTAAATCTAAAAATATAAAATTTATATCTAAATTTTATATTTTTTGAGATGGACTTGTTAAGTTATATAGGATAAAATAAAATAAAAATAAAATAAAAAATAAAGGTAATTAACTATACTAGATTTGCGTGAATTTTGCGTACACACTGTACATTTAAGTTTATATTTAAAAAGCACATATTTGAATTTAAGACGTGATGCAGCGTTTCTTTTAATTTTATAAAAAAGGACACAACCCAATTTTATTCCATAAGTGGTTTCCATACTTTATAATTTCAAAATTTTACGCTATATTATTCATTATCGACCCTACATGATATAGTTCGTTGAGATCAGGGTGTTCCATTAAAAATAAATCTTATGGAGTTTATTCCATAAGTGGTTTCCATACTTTATAATTTCAAAATTTCATGCTATATTATTCATTATCGACCCTACATGATATAGTTCGTTGAGATCAGGGTGTTCCATTAAAAATAAATCTTATGGAGTATGCCAGCTTGCGTAAATCACACTGTACATTTAATTTGTTTAAAAAGCGCACATTTATATAAAAGTCGATGGGTCTCAGAGTTTTTTATATTTTTTTAAAACAAAGACAGAACTAATTTTATTCCAAACGTGCTTTTCCCCTGTACATAGTGTGAGTTTTTAATGCGATATTGCTCGATCATTCCATTATAGTACAGAATATCCATTAAAGTTATTTAGAAAAAAACGTGGGCAATGATATTCTCCAGGCTTTCAAAATATGCCGAATTCTACAGGGTGATTAATAACTACGTGGTAAAGCAAACATTTTGTAAATAGGACACCCTATACATTTTCTCATATTTAGATTCTCCTTTTATCTGTTCTGAAAATATGTAGTTTCACACTACTATACAGGATACTTAATTAGTTATGACCTTTTTTTTTTATTTCGATGAAGTAATGAAATAAATACCCCGTGTATAAATAAGGAATACATAAATACATTATATTTTATTTTTTCAAAATATTTCATTTATCATACTCATTACTTACTATTGATACTAAAAAGAGATATTTTTAATTTTCTTGAAACAGGAATACCTTCAATTTTTTTAAGTAGAAATAACTTAACTAGTTTTGTGTAATAATATATGCATAACAATATGCAATAAATGTAACCGTTTTTAGATTAATGTTATATCAACAATAGTTTATTAAAAAAAAAACAAAAAAAATACAATTTTTTGGCATCTAATTTTATTTTATTGTTTTTAGACAACACTGATACAAGCAACCTAATGGGAATTATAGTAATTTCGGTAGTATGTTGCGCAGTTTTGACATCTATAATTTGGGTAGTAATTATCTACCAAACCAGACGCAAAATTACCAATCCGGTCATACAGACCGAAATGGAGGAACTTCCGGAGTTAGGTGACAGTAGCCACATGCATCAACTACAACTGCAACGAAGTTCAGATAACATTTCGGACCAATCTTCGTGTAAAGACAGCGGCACGGGAGATTCTGCTAAACGTAGTAACGATAATTTAGCCCAAGAAGAGCTTACCTTTGTTACTAATAACCCTGATGCTGCTAACACTAGCTCAGAAGCGAATAATTTGCAAGCGCCATTATTGCACTACCCTACAAACCATAACCGGATTTTAACGCCGGAATCCAGTTTGCCTGTTGTAAAGGCTTTAGATAGTTAAGGTAATACTAATACTTGGGCCAGTATTTGAACGTACAATTATTTTAAAAGTATTAATATTAACCCGCAGAAAATATATATACGTACTTTATTCTGCAGCATAAGTTGTTTAAGTTAGGTATTTTATTAAATATTTTATTTATCTACTAGTTGTTTTATCAATTTTTGTGTTCGCTTGTTATGTTCTTTCCCATAGATTATCTAATATTTCTTTTGAATGATTCTGCTTATTGTCTTCTTTATATGTACATCTAGAGATGTAACTGACCTTTCGTAACAGCAAATGGATTTATTAGTTAAGAATGCTCTTTGAGCATTGAGTGAATGTGTAAAGACGTCTCGTCTATTGTCGTTTAATAGTAGAGCGTGTGAAAATGTAAGATTCCAAGAGCATTATACGAAATGCCTCCTCTGATAGCAATCGCCGGTCACGCGACGACACCCATCATCGACACAAGTGACACCCAAAAATGGTGATATCTGTCGATTCTTCTTTTTAACAATTCTTGTTTTTTAGAGGGTATTTCAAATCAAGTGGCGAGCGCTTCCACGAAATAGTTTATCGCGTACACAATAGAATATCTATGATAAGAGCCGTGCAGTGGTGTTACAATATCAAACAATTTGAGAAGATATTTGAAACCGCACTAATTACAAAATTATTATTCACTTAAATAATAGGTAGAATAATAGAGTTTTTTTGTGGTCTTCCTGTATGCTATCAAACCATCTTTGCTTGGGTCGTCTTTTCCTTCTTTTCGTGATTGAGTCCCGTTTTAAGATGATTTTTGGCATCCTCTACCTTTCTATCCTCATCACGTGTCCCACCAATCTCACTTTCTATGAAGCGACTGGTGCTTGGTTCATTATATAGTTTCTCTAGCTCCCTATTTTTGCGCGCCCAACTTTTCACCGTGTTTTTGATTCCGTATATAGGAGTATTTTCCATTCCCATCTTTCCAATTTTTCCGTATTTGCTTTTTTCATTAAGTAGCTTCACTACCATGCATCACTGTGGGTCTTATTTTCTGTTTTATGTATCCTTAAAACATTCGTAATTCTCTTCTTGTTTTTCTTAAAATATTAAGATCATCAGCGAAGGCCAGACATTTATGTTCATTGTGGAAAATCGTTTAAGTCAGCTATTTTGATTATTGTTTCCAATACCAAATTAAAAAGCACCGTGGATAACGTATCTCTTTGTCTAAGACCTATGTTAACTTCAAATTCATTCGATGAAAAACATCTCCATACTACATGATTTCGTGTTCTTTTCAGAGTCATTTTTAATAACTTAATCAGCTTTGATCCTAATCTGATCTGTCACTAATCTATAAATTCTAAAACCGGCCTGATACGCACCTAGTTTATCATCAGCAAATCTATAAGCAGGGAATTGTAATTCTGCAATTCTTCCCTTCCCTGAAAAAATACACGCAAAAACGAAAAAAGTTGATAGATCGTATGAAATAAAATGACTCATATAATAACTGATTGGTGTGGCTCTAGAAACATTAAATTTTCTCACGCATAAGTCCTCTGCTTGTATGTTATGTGAGGGAGTCATTATTCCTCCCGTAAAAAATTAACACGGTCTAGAATGTGTTATTAGAATGAATGTATACTCGAACTTAGTTATCCTAGTGTCTTTAGAGAAAGTTACTCAAATGTAATGACTTTTCTTAAGGTTCAAATACTAGCCTAATGAATATGTAATAAATAAGCACCAGAATTCTAGAGACGAATATATACTTAAAGATATTAAAATGATGTATTTTTTAAATATAACAGAAGTACGCTAAGCCACAGCTATGAAGATATAACGATGAGTAAGTTCTGAAAATTATAGTTCTGAAACTATTTTCTGGTGGCATTTCTATATTAACTACTTTTTAATTAGAATAAACAACAATTTTAATTTAAAATAGCATTCCTTGCGATAAATTCCACCAGCCATTGGTCTCCGTCTTCTTCCAGTCACTTTACCATTTCTGTTTTAATTCCAACAACATCTCAGGCCTTTCCTATTTTAGTTTCTTTTAAAACAGTGTCTACTTTTTCCATATTTCTTTCTTCGGTTATTATGCTTATTAGGTTTAGTCGGGTTTCATAAAATTTATCTGCATAGTAATCTTTCTATATTAAAATATCATATTTTTGTTTAATTCCTGTCTATTATTTAGAATTGCCTTTATTTCTTCCCTATTGCCTGTAGTTCCTCCTAGTTTTTGCTTCTGTTTTGATCTGTTCCCATTTTTCCATAAAATCATCCCGGGAAGCACCTCAAAATTAAAGATATGGGAATATCATTTCAAAGTCTTCTACTTTAAAATGCAAAATATGTCTAAATTGTCAGTATGAATGGGGCAGATGAAATTAAAATATTAGAAGGCAACAATTTTATTTTGTATTATGAAAACGGTTTCCAACACACACACGTCAACATTTTAATTAAATGCATTTTTAATTAGAATTTTGGTTTATTCCCATTAAATATAGTAGGTAAAATTACTGATTTTAGTGTATCATCGCCACAGGTAAAGCCAAAAATAATAATAAACCGTTTAGGTGTTATGAAATGAAGATACGCATAATTTCTTCTTATCTGTTGCTTACTGTATGACTATATATTGAGCTTGTGAACCAAATAGTGCTTATATTGCCCTTTGAAATTAAATACAATACAACGAAAGTGCCTTTTGGCCAAAAATTTTTTAAGAATTGGTCATCTGATTTAAAAGAATCTCTAGGATAACAGTTTAAAATGTCTATATTAAATTTTGAGATTATTACATGGTTTACAGTATTAAATAATTGCAAGAATGCAATAATGCAGCTGATTGATATATGGAATTAAAAACTATATACATTTGTTATATTCTAGTATATACTTAAATAAATAATCTATAAAAATGAAAAATCGTAGCCTTTCACATTTACAATTACTATAAAATTTTAAATTGTGTTAAAGAGGCTCACAAAAAAGATATTTTTGCAGATACGCAAGTAAATAGCTTATGCGCATTCTACCTCAAATTTGGTAATTTTTCCATGTAAATCCCTATAAGAAAATCTAGGTTCATTCTGCAGTTTTTTGTACCTTCAGATCAAAGGGTCTCGCGCTAGACGATCCATTCTAGAAAGACCTTAATCGTGTCTAGACTCTTCTTCCTCATCTCCAAATTATCTATTGTATAGATTACCATATTAATCCGTTAACCCCATTTGCGTTTAATAACAACGTATTTTATTTTGTCTTTCTATTTATTTTCACTATTATCACTTCCATTCGTTGTCCTCGAAATTATTTTATAATGCTTTCATTTTGTTTCGTCTCCTGTAAAGGGTGTATGCAGAAGTTAAAACGAATGGAAGTGATGATCGAGGAGAGGACAGAATACCGAATGAACTCAGTACGAAAGACCAGATCTGACCAAAAAACTACTAAAACTAATCCAAAAATAATAGAACAAAACAGAATTTCTTAAGAATTGAAATCAAGTATTCTAATACCTCTCTTCAAAAAGGGAGACAAATCGGACCCAGAAAGTTACAGAGGAATTAATTTATTAAACCCAACACTAAAATTGACAACTAAAGTGATTACAAACACACTGAATAATATAACACTAGCAGAAGAACAAAAAGGTTTTAGGTCGGGAAGATCATGCACCGACGCTATATTTATAATGACGCAAGTGCAAGAGAAATCAACAGAATACAACAAACCGGCATATCTATGTTTCGTGGACCTTAAGAAGGCATTTGACCGGGTTAAATTACAGGACATTATCCACTTATTGTACACAAGATAGATACCCTAACTAACCCCTAACTACCCAGACTAACTGACTCTATTGAAGCTGACACTGGGATAAGACAGGGAGATTCCATGAGTCCTATATTATTCAACCTGATTATGAAATCTTAAAAAAGGTAAAAACTAAAAAAGGATACGAAATGGGAGAAAAACAACCTAAATAGTCTGCTATGCAGACGACGCAATACTACTTAAAACGTATGGTGCACCAATTTAGTTTAACCGCCAGAAAATTTAAAAGCTTATTTACTAAGATGTAAATTGGAGATGGAAGGTCAGATAATAAAACAAGTGATGTTTTAAACAGAAGTGAAAGATCAAGTAAATAGAGCAAACAGAGCCGCAGGTTGCCTGCCATGAAACAGTATGGGGAAGTAGAAAGATCGGGAAAGAAATGAAAGGCAGAATTAACAAAACAGTCATCAGACCAATAATGACATACGCGGCAGAAACACGACCTGACACAGAGAAGACAAAAAGGATTTTAAAAATACAGAGATGAAAACACTTAGAAACATTCATGGTAAAACTCTATGGACAGAGTTGGAAGTACGACGTGGATGCAAGGTGTAGAACATAACGAGCTGGATAAGAAATAGAACAGTAAAATGGAACGATCATATAAGCCGAATGACAACGAATAGAGTAAAGACGGCAAGAGCCTGTTCTCCAATATGAAGACCACGAAAACGATGGAACAATTTCTGGAAACACATCGAAAAACAGTTATGTCTATATAAAAAGAAGAAGAAGAAGATGAAGTGATGGTAGTGAATATAAATGGAAAAAATAGATAAAAGACTATCATTAAACGCAAATGGGTTATATGAATATTCACTTTCATTCCCGAGTTTTATTTTACCAATTATATGACTTATTACTTTAATGTAGTTTAAACCAAATTTATTAAGTAATACAACAAAAATACGTTTAGTAAAAACAAAAGGTGTGTGTTCTATATGAATGCTAAACATCTTATAAAAAGCAGTCTCTTGGCTCCAGTTGGAAGGTTGTCACGTTATGTAAAAAGTCGTGAACCAAAAAATAAAAATGCAACATAAAAAGTCCCATTTGGTAATGTACATATACAAGAAATAATTCGGAGATGGAAATGAAAAGAGTCTATTTAAGGTCTTCCTAAAACAGCACGTTTGACATGACACTGAAGATACAAACAATTGCAGAATGAACCTTCGATTTTCTCATGGGAATTAACATACGAAAATTAAAAATTCAACTGCCAAATTTGAGCTAGAATGCGCATATGCTATTTACTTACAGATATTTTTATATTGTGATCGTAAGTTAAAAATCATTTAAAAGACAAAATGGGGCGTAATCATTGCACAAAATGTGTGAAATAGAAAGTTTGGCGGCCAAAGATTAGTTATGGGTAATCTATAAACTAATCATAATGTAGAACATAACGACACACCTTGAAGAGCAGTAGCAGCCACTCATGATAGCTGATATTTTAAAAATACCGATGAATTGATATTCAGTATTTTTTTAATATTCCTTAGAATTATTTATTTCTCCTATACCAGTAC